TTTTGCAATTAGTAACACAGCCCATTAACAAACTCTATTTAGAGGGTTTTTCACTTAAGTGAGACTTTCCTAAATTAGTAGCCATCAGTTCTGACTTGGATAGTGAATCCGTCAAATTCCATGGATTATACTAGCGTACAGCCCTCCTCCCACAAAAAAAGGGGAAGCATGGCAATATGGGGAGTCATGATCAGAAAAAAGGAGCTTGCTTTAAGAGCAGCATATGCCTGTTTTTTCTATCAAAACACCTTGTTATGTTTTTTAGTAGTTTTAGTAGTAGTAGCTTTTTGGACTTCAGTTTGCTCTACCAGCAAAGGGAAATTGAATAAAAAGGGGAGAACTGATGATTTTTAAAAGGCACTGAGAAGGTAGGTGGAACCTTTTCACCAAAAGAACAAAGCAATTGCAAATAGTAAAATAAAAGCAACTTTTAAAACTAAGAAAAATAAATCTCTCTTACCCTCAAAAAATAACTGAGAGTCAACAGTAGAGTCACCGAGAAGACAAACCGGGTGCTTACACAGATCTACATCTGGACATGCTATAATTCATGAAAATAGCTTGAAATTGATCTAACCCCACGTTTCAAAGACTAAATCAATCTCTACTTAGGCAGGGCAGATGACCTCACACCTACCTTCTGTGTCATTTTCTGTACTTCAGCTGACGCTTTTACTGTTGACCTCTTGTAGGGCCGTGACTGTGGACCAGGAGGAATATGGGCTTTGCCCTAATTGCTGCTAATTGGCATTCAACAGTGCTGTCAGGTCTAGCCAATGAAACAGTGCAGTATGGAGGATTCCCAGGGATTGTTAATGAATAGCCTTTGCAATAGGCCTGAGCCTCAGAGACTGAACCTGGCTCAGTGGTATCTTTCCATACAAAAATGACTCTGTAGACGTGACCCCTCAGCTTTCCAAGGCAGCATCTCTGATCATGTCCTCCCATCCCTTACACACAACTGCACACACACTTCAATGATAGCTACTTTTCTTGTGCAAGGACAGTGAAACCTGTATTAAACATTTACTTCTGCAATTTCTTCCTCAAAATCTTTTTCTGGGATGTTCCGAAAGAGCTTGGGACATACACAATAGTCTACTGTAGCATTTTATTCAAGCTACATTTATCTACTGCTTAGGTAAGAAAATTTCACAATGAAGGTGGTGCAGGATGTCATTCATGACCCTTGTCCTACCTCCACTGAGGGAAGGCATGAAGAACTAGAACTGAAGCAGACAGCAGTTTGAACAGGCTCAGTATCTTTGACATTTAAACAAGAGATTGCTTCCTACAGCGACCATCTGCCCAAGCTTCGAGGCACCAAGTTACTTACCAGGAATCGTAGCAATGCATCAAAGAAGTTGCTTTTGATCTTTGCAATGGTCTTAAGAAATATCCTTTGTAGAAGCGAGTTCAGTGACATCTGAACCCTTACTTTAGATAAGTGCTCTTCCTAGGATGTAAACATTGACAGCAAGCTGTTGCAGGACAGAAGGACCAGCTTGAGCATACGTACAATCTTCAGTCCACAAAGCAGGAAAATAAGGCACTCCACATACTCTCACTCACTGTCCTATCCATCAAATTTGGGCTGTTATTACTGTAATAGGACCACAAAAAATGATCCAAGGGCTGGAGCACCTCTCCTGCGAGGCCAGGCTGAGAGAGTTGGGGTTGTTCAGCCCAGAGAAGAGAAGGGTCCAGGGAGACCTTATTGCAGTCTTTCAGTACTTCAAGGGGGCCTACAGGAAGGATGGGGGAAGGAATAATGGATTTAAACTAAAGAAGAATAGATTTATACTAGACATAAGAAAGACATTTTTTACAATGAGGGTGGTGAAGCACTGGAACAGGTTGCCCAGAGAGGTGGTAGAGGCCCCATCGCTGGCAACATTCCAGGTCAGGTTGGAGGGGGCTCTGAGCACCCTGATCTGGTTAAAGCTGTCCCTGCTCACTGCAGGGGGGCTGGGCTAGATGGCCTCTAAAGGTCCCTTCCAACCCAAAGCATTCTATGAGTCTATGATTCTAATTAGAAACTAAAGGTTTTGGCTATGTCTTTTATTGGCCAGCTAAATCAACTGGTCATTTGATGCTTAGCAGGAGTATTATGGTCTGTTGCTTGTTGGGTTTTTTTCCTTCTCATTGGCTTACTTGAAAGGAAGAATGATGGTCTCGAGTATTGCATCACTATGGTAGTAATCAAATTAGTGTGAAGTACACAACCCCAGATGGTTGTTTCTGCACAGGACGCATGCTTCTCCAAATGCAGCACAAATGGTGGCACTAGAGGGAGCTCCTGCAGCATCACCACCTCAAAGCCCCCAACCTGAAATCAGACCCAGATCAGAAGAGTTACTTCTAAAATTGTGAGGTTTTGGATTGTGGGTTGGCTTATTACTTATTTATTAACTTCTATGCACATTTGAATAACATTTTCAGATTTTCTTTTGCTGCTACAAGCTCTACCAGCATCCTTCCTGCCAACAGCTCCTATTACTGCATCATTCTAGGAATTGAGACTTCTTAGCCCATTACTTAAATGTTTATGGGAAAAAAAAAAAAAAAAAGAAACCAAACCCAAACACTATGGATATCTTCGTTTTAGAAAAACTGCTTGAAAAGCTTCACTGAAGTTTGAAAAATCTTCCAAATATTAAACTGTTGCCCTTGTTGAGATTCAACCCTCCTTTTAATCAGTAAATCCACAGCTAAGCATCTGGAATTAAAGTTAATATTTAGCCTTTGAATAAATAAGAGACCTTTTGGGAATAATGTGCTTATTGGGGAACTCTGAAAAAAATACATTTACAAGATTGTTGCTTTTGTTTTATATTGTATACGCTTTGCTGGCACTTGCTACAACTAAAGCAAAAGTGGCGGAAGCAGCTTTTTTATTTTTAGAAACAGAGGCACCCAGAGTGATGATTTGTAAAACTTCTCTAGTGAAGACAAAGGGTATCCTCTCCATATGCTTACTTGAGAAAGAATTTGTTTCAAAAGGCAAAAGTTAATAATTTCAAAATAAAAAAAAAGAGTCAGGCTTCTGTAGAAACACCACAGTCATTCTTTTTGGAAGCAAATACTTCTCAAGTATCATCTGTAGAAGGCCTAACAACTACATCAAACATTGTTACTGCATTTCGTCCACAGAACTACTCAGGACCCCTAGCTGTGGAAGAGGCCCACCATTGCAACAGATGCCACACAGAACAGAAACACAGCTTTATTCCTCTTACTGCTAACAGCTGAAGTAGAGCAGACAACCCTACTTATATATACACTAAGTACACTATATATATTTACTGTATAGTTCTTTAAAATCTAATGAGAGGAGTACTCTGTTCTGTTATAAAAATTCAAGGCTAATTTACATGTGATAGTAAAAATATTGCTCAGTGCAGTGCTATGAGCAGCAAGGTTTGAATGGTTCTAGACCACTGTGTTCTCCCCACCTCCCCAAATAGGTGTACTACAAAATTATAAAATACTCTTTCATTTCTTGCTGGTCTACAAATGCTTACCCAAAGGGTTATATCATGAGGAGAAACTAATGTTTTGCTCCCTTCTCCAACAAAAAGGCCTTCTCCTTGTGTCACCAGGAAAGACAAATATCAGTATCAGCCGTTACTTTCACTCAAACCTTAAAAACCAACCAACCAACTTACCTTGACTTCTTTCACTCTCCCTTGTTCATGGTAGATACGTTCTCAAATGCTTCCCAGGTTTCCATCCTCTGTTGCACCGACCTCCTCTGGGTGAGAAGTTTCCCGTCTTACACAACACTCCAGTGTTCCGAGACCTCCCATTTTTCTCAGCACCCTCTGCCTCCAAAACCTCTCCCCCACAGTTACTTTCTCCTTTCCTAGATTCACTTAACTGGATCACTTTCAAAGCTTCTATACTTTGCTCTTCCTCAGTAATTCCCTATCTTCTCCTTTAAAAAAAAAAAAAAAAACAAAAAAAAACAAAACACCCAACCACCCTATCCGTCTCCTCACACTTTTCCTCTCCCCTCACATTATTCTTCCCTTGCTCGAGTATCTTCACTGTTACTGCCAGCTGAGCTCAATATAATTCCCATTTCTCTTCCCTCACAAATCTCTCTTCATCTCCTCAGTTTTAGTTTTCCCATCTCCCTCTATTTCTGTGATTTATATCCCTTCCCCAAGTCCTTTCAGCCTGCCTGCATTGTGAATCAGGGTATCAGAATGTCGCGATTATGTTATTTTTCATTCGGTGTGGGGAATTCTTTCTGTTGATGTAAGCAAAGTTTGTGAAGACTGTGTGATGAATGTGTATTTTAATGATAACAGGGTCATGATGACTACAGTACCCTTGTCCACCTGGTGTTTAGACTTCTTCCCAGCATTCTGTAATTCCCGATGGAGCCTCTCAGTGTCTGTCAACCTTGGCAAGAACAGCCAAGGGGCAAAGCCCGTCTTTTCCCTGCTGCACTTTTCCTTCCTTCACTTCCTCCACATGTTTTTGGATGGCAATGTAGAAGAGGAAGCGTAGAGCCTGTTACACAGACTGAACTGCCCTCCTTCCCAAATAATTACTCCTAGGAAGTAACGCACAGGAATTTTCAAATTGCCGTTCCTTTGCCCTACATTTTCCCTGTTCCAAATCCAATGGAAACTAAGGTGTATCTGCTGTTGTTGCAAAGAACACATACTCATGGATCTATTAGCGAAACAACTATTTCACCAGCACTACAGATTCAAGCGTGGAGAATGTGAAGTGGCACTATAGTAAGACTGATGGGGAGACAATTTTGCATATGTATGTGTGGGTTTCACTACAGCCACGGAAATGCAAGAACAAAGAGGCATGGGGTCTCAAAGTGACGGAGAACCCAAGTGCTCACTGTAAGAAATAACTGTATTTGTCACTTCTCAAACACTGTAAGAAAGAATGCAAATGAAGGCAGTAATGGACTTATAGTTACAAGGTGAAAAAAAAAAAATCAATGGTTGCACAAGGAAAAACCACAAAACTACTTAAAACAACCAAATCTTTTAATTAGAAAGCAACAAACATGCAAACAGCAGGTATAGAAATTTATTTGAACCAACGTTTTTACTATAATGAAAGTTACTTTAAAACATTGATCCAAGCTCCCACATTTGCAGGTTAAGGAAAATATTGCACTTTGCATCTTCTAGCACCCCTCATACATGGCAAAACATTTTAAAAACATTTTTGCTTATTTTACTTGCACACTCTCCCAAAGTCATGCACACAGTCATTCAAAAACAAAAGGTTAGGTTATCCAAAAGCAATACCTTAGAATTGCACTAAAGCTCTGTAAGGAAAAATATAATTAATGTCTTATACAAATTCCATTAACGTCTAGGTGCTTGCACACAACTGCCGGTTACTCTTCATCTTCGTTTTCATTTTCCTGACCAGATCCTTCTGATCTGTCACCTTCCAATCGATCTGTAAGACACAGAGATGTAGTAAAGAGAACCTCCAAAGTTTTCGGGTTTTGATAAATATTTATAGTGTACTATCTCCCTGGGCTATTACACAACACACAGTGGCTGTGGGTTATACAGTAGAAGAAACTCTGCACAGAGTGACAGCAGAGATCGGGTAGAAGTGTTACCATGGGAAAGGAGGACAGGAGAAAAGCCCTAAAGGATTTCCAGGCATAGAAGTGAAATTTGTGCACAAAAGGAGAAACCTTGTAGCTGCTGACTGGCTGTCAGCACAGGAAAGATGAATGCAAGCGTAATACTAAAAAGAGAGAGTAAATACAAGGGATTGAAACACTGTTTTGGGGAGCTAAAACTAGAATAGATGCAGTTAGAAATTTGTATACTCCAGAAAACTGGGGAATCACTATCTGTCACTGTGTACAGCAGAAAAAGTACCTTCTGATGTAAATGTTTACGGAAAGGCAAATACAGAAATGCGTGAGGGAACATGATTGGCTCAAGACATATCACTTGAACAGCATGCACTGTCAGGTTAAGAAATACTCCAGCCAGCCATAACACTTTTTGCTGAAACTGTTGTAACTCAAGTGTTGGGCAGTTCTTTGAGTATTTTACTCCAAAGAAATCAGAACAAATGAAGGAAAAAACCAAACTAATATATTCATTTCCAGCAGTGGTGAGGCACACCACGGGGCTGGATACAGTGGCATCCTCTGGGCTCTCTAATTCTCACAGATCAGCGGGAGGTGAAAGAGGAGCAGCAGCTGCTGCCAGGCAGAGCTTCCCTCCTTCTTCATCACAATAAGCCCACTGCCCTTGTCAGCCAGTGCTGGAGTCCCTGTAATCAGTATCTACAGTCACTTTCACCCTCATCTACAGTTCTGTTAGGTTGCCACCCTATACGTCACACCAGCCTCCCAAAACTTCATCTCCTTGCTTCCTACCCAGTATGATGTCTCTCCGTTGCCCTACATGTTCAGTATCAACCCACTGCAGTCAGCTTCTTCAGCACTAGTATCCAGGAACACCACTTCCCAACAACGACTCTCCATGCAACCCTTCATATCGCTAGCTTCAGTCCCTAGGGAACTGCTCCTTCACTGAAGGGATGTCCTAGTACCTGCTGCCCCAGGAACACCTGCCAGCAGCCTCGTGAATACCTCCCACAGTCCTGTATCTTCACAACTTCCTTTGTCCCCAGACAACTCCAAGCCCACAATGATAGTCAGGTTATCTTATGACTCATTCCAGTAATCCCCAACAGTTTTCCCATCACACAGCACTCACCTTAAAGATAATTCCTTAGAAAACAGAGTATTTTTCAACGTCTAATTAGTACTACATTATGAATAAACTATTTCAGGATGGATAGTTCGGTAAGATCTAAAAATATATTTTGCTCTTTTCTTGCTCTTTGTTTTGAGGTAAAAATTAACAGCTGCAAAACGTTGCACGTCTCACACTAAAGAAGCAATTCCTAAGTATTTCTATTAAAAGATCCTTGAACAACCCTTGAATCTTCTCGCCAACCCCAAGTATAGCCACAGACAGCTGAACATCTTGATGGTTCCCCAATCCATCTGCTATTTCATAGACCAATGTGGTGGACAAGCTCTCTCACCTGCTCTTATATGATTCAACGAAGCCAACATCCGTAACATAAAAGAAGCTGGAACAGTAATAGTGTTTCTGGTCTCTTCCAGCATTAATTCGTTACGTGTTATAACCTGGAGGCAGGGAAGGGGAAAAAACAGCATCAAAAATAAACACAAAATTGTACTGCATCAGTATTGGTTTGTAGATACAAAGTTCCTATGCAAAAGGCATTTGCAGAGTCCAAAATTACAATATTACTCTAGCCAAGCAATATTTTAATAATTACCATTGAATACAGTTATACCAGTTGCATGTGGTAGGAAAAGTCAGAGAGTGGACTGCCTACAGATATGTAATTGTCTATCTAAACAATATTCTAGGAAGATCATCATTCCGTTGTCCACACACATGGTAGGTATTAAGATGAGCAACTGAGAAAAACTTTTGGAAATGAGATCTTGCATGAAGTAAGGAAGAATGATGGAAGAAAGTGCTGTTACAGATGGCAACTGTTGTAGAGAAAGTGCTAGCACCAGTGCTGGCCAAGGATGTGGGAAGGAAAAGAGATGAGGTTACCCTAAACTCCTACCTTCATGCTGCTTGAAACTTTTGGAGAAAATCCAAGGAACACAAGCAATTACCCTATCCCAGTTTGGGAACATTCTTCAGCTCCATAATTCTTTCTAAAAAGATCTATAGCTTGGCTCTAAGTGACTTGAAAGAGCCAGCTCCTACTGTCTTAAATTCAAGGGTGAAAAAGAAAAAAATCACTAGTGAATACTTTTAGCTCTTTTGCGTCCTTCCTTCCTTGTGGTAGTTCCTTGCCATCCTTCTTGTTGCCGTCAAGTTCTAATTCCAGACCTTACTTGTCTCTCAGCTTTCAGACTGTGTTCTTTCACTGTCACTAAGCATAAAAATTTCTTTAGGTGGAGACAAGTTCTGAACATTATTCAGTCCTTCCTCCCAGATCAGCTGCTGTAAGGCAGGAAAATAATGCAAGTCTGTTTCTCCCTGAGACTCCTTCTCAAGCCTGTTCCTTCTGTGAGACACATGTTCTTGCAAATGTCTGCAGTGGCCTTGTCCTAGCCAAATCAAAGCGCCTCTTTTCTGCCATTCTCATCTGTTTACCAGGAACTTTGCACAGCTGATCACTCCCTAAATGAAGCAAACTGAGAAGACAGCAGGCTGCCACTTTTTTCCTCTTTCGCCTCCTATTTCTCCAGTGCGTCATCAGTAACACCCTTTTGACAGTCTGCTTCTGATGCTTTTTCTCTATTCAGAGATTTGTTCCCGGCCCCGCTGTCTTTTCCTATTCACTAAGGCCATGGCCTCTCTTAATTGTAAATACAGTTCTATATCTATACTGAACTTCCCCCAAACACAATGCTTCCTCCCTAGACCTTCCCTTCTATGGAAAATTCAGTTCAGGTCTCTTGCACACTTACTCTAGCCAAGCTTAACACGGTGAAAACTATTTGATTGCTATAAACATCTCCTGTCCTCTACATAGGTACTTCAATATGAGGATTAAATTAAAAAACAAAACAAAAAAACCCCATGTAAAATTACAAGCCACACGGCGCTCAAATTTTCAGTAAGTTCTAAATTTTTTTATTAAAGAAAAAATAATTAGATCTCTAAATAATTTTTTATTATTTAAAATTAAGTGACAAAAGCATGAGTACAATAATTACTTTTAACACACGTTTAAATTTAGCCGTATTTCTAAACTCTGAAAGCTCCAAAACACATCATAGATTAAAATTATCATACAACATACACAGAAGTGTCACTTCACCCAAGGCTTACTTCTGCTAAAATAATGGGAAACGTTCAAAAATCACAAGTGGATGGTTTGGGTTTTTTTAGGTGAACGGGGAGTGGGGTGGCTAAGGGTTGTGGGTTTCTGTTTGTTTTAAATATATGTAGCACTAATACAAAGAAATGACAACAATCTAAAAAAAAAAAAAACCCCAACAGGCTACTATATCCCTGCTGTCCAAGAGTTTGCATAAAAAAAACAAACCCAAACCACCCCACAACCAAATTTTCCCTAATATATTACTTAAAGAAAAGCACCTAACATTTTAATATGTTTTTATGTAAATCACTAAAATATGATTATTCAGCAGTCAACTATATGATCATCATAGGCCAGTTGCTATATACATTGTTATTGCTTTGGGGGTATGAAAACAGTGTTACATAACTTTACATACAGACTTTTATAATTGATTGGGCTTGCAATGTTTGCTTTATTCCATGAAATTCCCAATTTGCAATCGTAACCTTAACTCCCTTTTATGCCACAGAATATTTAATAGGATTGATTTTTGCACTCCCTGTTCTTCTGTATATCATTGTATTTCCTTCAGTTTATTTGTTTAAAGACAACCACTACCTTCATTTCTAATTCCTGCCAGTTTTCCCTTTATATCTGACTGTTCATATCTTTTCCAACTTCTTTCATGTACATAAAATTTGTATCATTGTATCATAAAATTTCTAGGAAGGCCAATGAAATACAAAATGCCTCTGTGTGCTGCCAATGATATGAAAGCTAGCTATTACAAAGGGCAGCTTTTTATTTGGAACTCATTAAATAACTCTGTTAATTCAGTATCAGTAATTTGCACCAAAGGCTTTTGTAGAATTGGAAGATGCAACGTTACTGCGAAAAAGGAGGAAAGGTTCTTACCTCGTCTGCAAGTTTTCTGTTAAAAATCTTGGATTCTTCCAACGGCGACCAAATTTTTATATCATAATCAATACCCGAAGAGGCCAGAACTAGAAGTAATAGTAATTCTAAATTGAATGCATTATGTCTTTACCAGAATTTTCTGCACTTAACTGGAGTTGAAGAAAAATACTTCACTTGAAGCATTTATTTGCAAATGTCAGTTCCCATGCTGAACATAGCAGCTATGTAATTACTAAGTCTCCACACAAGACCCGAGATATAGTTTGTATATTTTTGGGAAAAAAAAAAAAAAAAAGAAGAAGAAAAAGAAGAAAACACATGCAAACATCAAGACCCTACTTTTTTAAATTAAAAAAAGCACCAGGATACACATCAGATAGGAGCAGAAAGTAAGAACAAAGCCAGCCGCTGCTAATGTATTTCTGCTTACAGCCTGATAAGTGTATCTATTAATAACAAAGCCTTAGGATTTGTAGACAGAAGCAAGATAATTTCAAACTTATTTTGACATTCAATAATATCAGTATATTTCATGTAATTTATTTGATATTCAAATATAAAGAAGCAATGGAACTTCCTATAAACACTTGTTATAATATGGAAAACAAAGTTGCAGAACATTGTCTAGATCATTGCAAAAACCACCATGGGAATAAAAATTCCATAGAAAGTTCTGTACAAGATTAACCATCCTACAAGGAGGATGACCTCTGCATCACGTTTTCAGCGTGTAACAGGGAGACAGTCACACACAGGGCATTTTGAAAGGTGCTTCCAAAAGCAGTGTCCAAACTAGCCACACACTCCAAACACGTACAGGAACACAATTTCAATTAAGCATTGAAAAGTTCAAGGCTTATCCAATGTAGGGCAGTATTCCATGTTTCCACAAACTGTCCAAAAAAACCCCAGCCTCTTCTGGTATTATTATAACTTTATTTGCTTATTTATTTACTTCTGACTGTTACTCGACAGTCACGTAAGCTATGAAAAAAAGAAATAACACAAATACTTTCTTTGACTGTGTCAAAAGCTGCAGAATGGTTCAGATTTTCCATCTAGATGTCAGATGACATATGATTCTTTCTACTACTTTGGTCCATCTTTTCTATAAATATTTTCCCCTAAATATAAATTAATAGAATGTCTGTGAATTTTATTCATTATTCTGATCTCACAAAGCCAGTGACACTGAGACTCCCACTTTACTCAATTTTTTGAACAGAGCCAAGTGGAGACCCGATTCCAATATCAATTCTGAAAGCATTGCTGGCATTTCAGTAACCCCATATTTCCCTCATTAGCGTCATGGAAAACATTTAATGTATTGAGGGGAGCAAGAAATGGAGATTCTTCTTACTACATCTTAACTTTCTATAAATAGTATATCAGTAGCGTTTTCATTCCAAGACGTTATTGAGTAAAGAGGGTTTTAAGGGCCAAAGGTCACTAAAGACAAAATGAGAAGTAGCATTATCTAATTTACATGGAAAAAAATGAACAATAGTTCATTAATCATTACAATGATCTATTGAGCAAAGAATTAAAGACTGAGCTTTAAAATGCTTTACTACAGATAACCTGAACACGCAGACTGTGAAAAATTATCATCTTACTTGGGTCAAATGGATGAGGCTGAAGACAGTTCACCACATGATTATCAGCTTCCAGCAGCATGAGATGTTCAGCAGTATGTCGATCCCATATAAAAATATGGCCACAGTCTGAACCACTCATGACAAAGTTAGATCCCCAAAAATTGGCTTCCTTTATCTGCAGTAAAAACAAAAATAACAATTACTTTTATAAGACTAGCCTGGAAAGCACATCAAAGAGTATACTCCCATTTCTGCAATAACACTGCCTCTGAAGTAAGAACTCTGCAAATGCAGAAAGAACACTTCAGAAAATTTAAAGGAAACATTTAAAGAAAAATTATCACAGAAAGAAAATTCAGAAGGTTGAAGATATCCAGAGCAAAGCAGCTGCTACCAGAAAAAAGGAAAGGAGTTGGGGCAGACTGAGCAGTTTGGAAATAAGTAAGGTGACAGCAGATTTGTCACTTTCTAAAGCAACTGAAGGGTACTGCAGAAAGATCCAAGGTCCTTGAAAAGGCATCCAGAAAACCAGCCACCTCTCACCGCAACTGTAGGGTTTGTTGCAGTGCCTCACAGCTTCTCCAGGAAGCTCCAGCGTTAATGGAGGCTGACGGAAGGCTTCCTTTGGAGCAGGGGGAGATGGCAAAGGCTTCCTGTCCCATTCTGCCTTTCTTCCCCTGCCATCAACGCACAGCCTCTGCTCCTTCTCTCCATGTGATGAAGAGAGGAACAACATCCTCTGGGTAAAGGGAAAAGGGGGGTTTTAGGGAACAGTATGCTCATGCTTTAGGCTAGTATCCCATATAATGGTTTAGTACATCATCTAGTTCCCTTTCCTTGTGTGAAGTGCTGTAATTCAGTAGGTATTTAAATGCCTTAAGCGCCATAAATATTCATGGCTCATCAGCATCATCGTTTTGGATACGTGTTTGCTAACAACACTGAGAACACTTTTCCAATGAAGTGACCATCTCTCCCCTCAAAAGGACTAGACTGTCTTGTCCACGATTCAGAGAATTAAATAGCAGATACAGTCAATGACAAGATAGCTGGCTTGACCTGTTCCTTGACTTGAAAAAGTCTTTGGGAAACAAGGGAGTAGATAAATCTGAACTTTTTTCTCCTCTTTGTTCCCATCCTTCTCTCCAAAACGTGGTAGTGTCATAGGATCATAAGAATAATGTACTATCTGATAATCATTTATACATATTAGTTATATTTTTGTATGGATTCATATATTTATTATTTATATTAGACTATACGTTTTTTATTTCTTAAATGTTATTTATAAATAATTACTTGTGTAGTAAATGCTGTGTTATTTATTAGTTGTGCATTTACTAATTCAGTAGGAAACCCCAGATTCCTTGAGTGTTTCACAGATCTGCGATCTCATGAGTTTTGGAACTGAAGGCAGCTGAAGCAGTCTGTCTTATCAAACAGAGAAGCATTACGATGAAAATGATCATATAAATGACATGTAAATTGCAGGCCAGGAAAAAGCAGCAGTAGTATCAGGTATCCATTTCCTTGAAATATAATGTTGATATTATTCTACACCTGTTACATTCAAGACACCCTTATGATTACAGCCTGAGAGAATGTGGGCTTATTCAATTTCTGAGCCAAAAAAAGCCACCCTAGAATATTTTTTTCAAGCAGCAACTATTAGGTTTGTTAAACGTAGAAGAATCTTTCCATGCCAAGGCTTCTCTTGCCCTCCCTTCCTACAAAGATGTAACCCAAACGAAGCCAAACAGTTAGTCTGAGCAAACAAGAATGGGTCACTTCCTTCACTAATGATTAGAATCTTCTTCAGAAATCACTTCTGATTTTACTTGGAGTAGGACATCAAAATAACCGTGTTAAACTTCTTAAAATAGGAACAGGCTAGGCAGCAGTATCTTTCTCCACTGCTGCCCTACATCACCTATAGGGTGAGAGGTTAGATGGGGTGGCAGAGGGAGGAGGGACATTGCTTCAAGAACAGTCAAAACTCAGTCACAAGATGTGAGCTGAAAGCTCCACAATAGTCTGATGTTTGTGCTGGAGAAAAGAGTTTGGAAGTTAAAGATGTAATCCTATGCACAAGATTACATTTTAAGCAGTTACCAATACGTCTTATGAACTCTTTAAATTGACATATTCTGGGCAAAAGTGATACCTATGTAAACAGAAATTTGCTACGCAGCAGCTTTCAGACTTCACACAGATGATGTCCAATGTTTGAAGTTTAGCATAAAATAATTTCCTAATTTTTGGTATTTAAGAGTATCTCCAGCATAAGGGACAGAATCTTGAGTTTGAGACCAGTTACACAGAATCCTACTATGGAATTATTTTCCAAGTAACACATCATAATAAAGCTCTATAGAGACAGTGCCTGTGTCCTTACCTTTCTTTTTTCATAGCTTTCTCAGAAAATGCACTGGAGAAAAGGAGAGACATTGTCTTGCTCCATGCCTTGCCCCAGCTATCTTGATTTAAAAAATCACCATGATAAAGAATCATATTAGTAAGCTGAACCCCCACCACTGTTAAAAATATGTGCTTTATTTCCAGCATGAGTACGTCCAGTTTTAAATTTCAGGCTTGCTAGATCTTTGTCTATAGAACATGTACCAATGATTGCAGTCAGTGCAATAAAGCCATCCTGATATCTAAAAATAAGCCAGAGAAACTGCATTCCTGGATTCTGTAGTGAAAGACGTGTTTCCAATATATTCATCTTTCGGCAGCTTTTATCTTATAGCTCCTCTTACTATATATTTTTCATTATCCTGTTATAAGTACATCTAAATTATCTCCAGTAATAAGTAACTTCATATTTTAATTCTCACTTACGACTTCTTCCTGCTTCCTTTGTATTCTCTTAACTAACTGCCGATTTTACATTTCTAATATTCATAAAACCTAATTTTAGCCAGACATAAATCAACAGAATTGAAATTCACATTTAAAAATTTTGGTTTCAAACTCATATACACACTCTATTCTACTGTATGCATATACAACTTATCCCATTTATTAGGTACACACAGATGCTCTACTGAGGACAAGTTTTTTTAAAGTCAATATTTTAAAAGGGGGACTCAAGACTTGGGGTGAGTGGAATAGAGGAAGAATGGCATATATATGAAAGGAGGTAAGACCAGGACTGGATGGAAAAATAGTGAGGAAGAGACAGGAGAGACACAGAACTGAAGGCATGTGGCAGAAGATGCAATCTGAAGAAAAAGAAAGGAATTTGGGTCTCACAACAGCATTTTTTTCCTCCAAGAGCTAAAGAGAAACAAGAAATCCCACCCTCCATCATTCCACTACCATGTCACCCCCTGCTGCCATCCTTTCAGGTCTGTTTCATGAAAAAAAATAGTAACACCCACTACTCTAATGACATCATTAGAGATGTGACATGGCAGGGATCTGCATGCTGGACCTAAAAACGTTCCAACCCTGCCAATGTTGCAAGCAAACATCAATATAATGCTACTTATCTTTTGCTTTCTAACAGTACAAGAATCACACTTAAAATATGCTTATTAAAAAAATTGTAAGATTGCCAAATTAAGTTCTCAAAAGTAAGGAAGTACCAGAACTATTCAATTTGCCTGCATAACTTTAATTCATTCTCCTTATATATATATCTATGTATCAAAATAGTTTATCTTCATGTAGTTGACAACACAACTTTATCCCTGGGTTGCTCAGGTGTGTAGGAAACAAGACATCTCTAAGCTGTCTCCTTCACAAATTTAAAAGGGAAATACCATGAGCCCTCATCTTGCAGGAAAGAGGCTATCAATCAAAAAAATAATTAAAATGAAGTTTGCCACCACAGAAGCTGACAGGGAAAAATCACATCATCTTCTGTTGTGTGCATTCCTCAACATAGGTGCTCACGGGAAACAAAAGCAAAAACATCAACCCACATCCCAAAGAAACCAAACAACAAAATCCATGAAATAATCTGTATAATAAGATATATGCAGATGGAGACTGAATTAAGACCACTTAGGTCTTAGTTTTAATATCACCTAACTACAAAGTGCTGGATGCTATGACTTTTAAACTAACAGGGTTTTGAGCAATTAAAATTAATTTCTGAAATACAGTGCAAAACTCCTTGTCATTAATTGAAGTTTATTCTAAGCCTTGTTGCTTATGTAGACTGAAACGTGCTTTCACTGAAGCCTTTTCCCCCAGCGTAATCAAAGCCATTCACACAAACTCTAGAAAATTGCTTTTGGAGGTAGAGGGACTACTCCTCAGATCATCTGCAAAATAATACACCTGCTACTCCTACAAAATACAACCTAGTACTCAGAACTTCACATCTTCAAAATACTGTAAAAATCAAAAAAAGAAATAGCAAGGAAACAGTTTCTCATGCACCACTGCTTTACAAACACAGTAACTGCATTTTTCTTAAAACACAGTATTTTGTATGAAAAAGACAGAATATCTAGTAGTTAGATTATGATTCAATAACTAGCACTATTTCCTCTTTTTAATTCAGAGATGTCAAAGCTCTTCAAAATAATGATTTATTCCTCACTTTCCCTTCCAAGCTGTTCAAAATCATTATTTAATCTTTACCTTTAAAGAGCTTGGAAAGGAAAGTGAGGATTAAATCTTAATTTTGAAGGTAGGCACATTTTATACCACTTAAGCTGACAGACAAAATGAAAAAGTTAAGAAAAATACCCAAGATTTCAAAGGAAGTTAAGGGGAGACAGCCTTAAAATCAAGAAAACTTAAATGCCTAACATGGTGACATATGAGTCACACTAATTTTAATTTTCATTTAGAGCAAATTATATGGCTTCCTACTGAACATACAAGAAAAAGTGCTTACAATACATTACAATAACCTTTTTGGCAAGCACATCAGTGTGGCAGCTATACTGATTCAGTACATAAAATCTCTACAGTTCCCAAAACAGACAAAGACTTTGTACCATTGTTCGGGAGTTCCGATGACCTTTATAAACCATCTTTATTAAAGGACGTCTAATATTCAACGTTTCCAGTTCTTCCATTTCTTTTCTTTCTTTCCTCCTTCTGAAGAGCTCCTGAATGCGGGCAACAGCAGATCGTCTATAAATTGCAGACAAAGAGAACACTACTGAAAGTCCATCTCTAAACACTGAAATGGGCTATCAAAAAGGACTATAAAATAGTAATTAGGCACTCAAATGCACTCTCCATAAGTTTGGAACAGACATCAACAATATCCCAAATGTAAAATTACAGACTTTAATTTTTTCCATCCTGGCTTAGAACAAGAATAGCATGCAAGACAGTGGAATGTCAAGTGATGCAACATTTTACTCCCTCTCTGAAGAACAAACTTCAGCTGTTGGCAAAATTCACATGCTATTTTATTTTGCAGTGCTCAAGATATCCTCCACCCATAATGAGGTAGCAAAATTCCGAAGTGAAAAATCTATGACAGGAGTTTTTAAAATGTAAAAAGTTACTAAGGACCTAGCACACCTTCCAGTGTGATTTGGTTTTTTCCACAAAATTTTGTTAAATGTATTTGTCTTCACTATTTCTGTATGACAAGCTTCAAGATTTAGACAGCTTTAAAAAAGTTCCTACTAAGGCAAGAGATGATTTGAGATCAATTATTGTAGCAACTATCCCATATGTTAGCAGTGAGGGATAAAGCTGAAGATTTCCTAGAGTAACAGAGAAAAATTAGCTAAATTATATATTTCATTTTGTCAATGTTTAATTCCAGGAATCTACTTTTTGATTAATCTGTGAAAAGACCCTGGTGCCAAACTTTTCCTGCTTAGCTCTTAAGTTTGCAGATCCCCGTAATTCCAGCTATAAGCAAACTGTCATATCCAAGCACCTGCACCTAATTCTTTTTCTTCTTTTATTCCCTGCCAGGGCTGCTATTAGCTTTGAGGTCCTGAACACTGTCCAAGGGGAATGTCACTCTCAAGAAGGAACAGGTACAGATTTTAGCAGAATGCAAGAAGTCAAAGTATTACAGCTAGAACTGAATATATTTGCAACCTCAGTACACTGCTACCAGAAAGCTAGTAACCTGAATTTGTCCACAAGTAATGTGGTATGGTGTTTTAGTCACTGATCCTGGAGACTCTTGCAACAAGTCCTCTTTTCCAGAAAGAAAATCCACCAGATCTCTCTCATGACTAATTCTCTCGGCCATTGGTCTGCTTAGCTTTTTGTTTCATTGGTGTCATAGGAGAAAGCTGGACCAAAAAAATTAATGTAAAGTAAATGTTACCCTACAGCTAGGCAAAGAAGAAAAATGAATGCAAGTAGTGAGGCATTAATACAGATCTTTTTCGGGTTTGTGTTTTGTTTGGTTTTTTTTTTTAAAAAAAAAAGCAAACCACAAACTGTCATACTAAGACAGATCATCTAATACAGCTAAGCTTTTAAAAGCTATTCTAATACTTATTTTTTATAGAAACTAGAAGAGATTTGTAAGCACTAGCCAGTAGATCCACTTAACAGTGGACTATAACACATTTCTTAGAAGTTGTCTAGCAAACAATCCCAGAAAAAAAAGACTACTACTGCTTCCTTTGTGAGAGTTTTCTATTCCCTCAAAATCTCATATCTAGGCAATTTTCTATTTTCTCCTTCTTATATTACACTAAATAAATATACTGCATTTGTTAGTTAGTCCTTATAATATATGGAGTCTCAGCTTTAATCTTCAACAGATTTAAGAGGATTCTTCACAAAGTCTTCATACAATGGAGAAAAAAAAGAAGCCCTTTATTTATATATCGTTATTATAAAGAGATATATATCTTTATTTACTGTGCTTTAAAGATCACAGAATTATTCTCCTCACCAGTTTACTTCTATGTGAAGGAAAAAGAAGGGTGGCATGTATATGATAGGCTACCTAAAACACTTACAGAACCTTTAAACAGTTATTTGTATATATTTGGTTTTGTACTTGTTTTTAAAAACAATGGGTTTTGTGTGAGAAAGTAAAAGCAAGAATCTTGTAATAACAACTGCTCTGCGACCAACCCCATCAGTGATCACGCAGCTTTGGAAACAGCACACACAGCTCTTCAGCACCGTAAGACCCTTTTGGTTTCAGAAGCCTGTGTGCTAGCCTTACACATATAACTTACTATGACCGCTGTTTGTATTTTCAGTGTATTTATCCACATTAATTAATTAATAAAAGATGTGCAGTGAAAAAGCTTAAAAGTTAAACATCATTAGGATTGACAAAGCAGTAGACTTGTCTAGCTCTTCCAGAAGGGTTACTTGCTAGATAGCAGTGACCAGTCTTGGGATTAGAAGATGGTATTAAAGTAACTGATTGGTAACCCGAAGTAGTTTATTGCATGATTTTTCATCTTAGCTTCTCTAGAAACATTAATCTCCTCCTCTAAATTCCCCTAGGCTTGAATGCAGACATTACAAAAAAAACCTCAAGACTATTCAGCAGCCAGAATTTTTAAATAAAAGCAGAAGCACAGAAGCAACTTTTGGTAAAAACTGTCTTTCAACTAAATTCAGCTCTGAATTTAAAATCCTGGTTTTGCCTCTTATTTTAAAAGGCATGAATGGATTGATATTTAGTTATCTTGTAGAGTCAATGATTACCTTCAACAGGGAGAATGCAGCCAACCACTCATGGCTGTAACTGTGATACTGTTATCGGGCACTCCAGTAACATACTGCTAAAAGCAGGAACCTGGCAGAGACAAGTCTTCTCCACAAAAGATAAATATGAGCCCAATCTAATGACATTTCAGAACAGAGAACATTACAGGGAAAAGGATTCTCTCTGAGAGGTATTACTTTTCTGTAACTACAGATTTTCTATAATTTTTTTAAGTCACACAAAAAACAATTTAAAAATCCAACATATTTGTTTTCGTGGCTTTTTAATTTTCATTTGTATTTGTGATAAGCAATTCCTGTCTGGGCCAACATAAATTTAGTAGCCTAATCACTCAAAGCATCAGCAGATACAGAAGTGCACTATGCAATTCGTACTGTTCCTAAGTTCGGCCTAAACTAAGCCTGACTGTGAGCTGCTGCTTCCCTTCCAAACTGTGTACTCTTCCAAGCACAAAATGTTAGATAATGAAATTTATGCATATTGTGTAGGCACTCCTCAGGCAACTCCATCAATTTATAGTGGTATTAGTTATGTATTCACATTCAGGCATCAAATAATGAAGATGCCTGAGAAATGTTGGATATAGATTAATGTTATTAAATTTATGGTACAGAAAATGTTATGTCTTGTAAAGCCAATGAAACCAAACTTTGTTTTAGTTATGCCCTTACACTGTAGGTAGCACTCTGACTTTAGACTAATTCAGTGCTATTGTCTGGTCTGCAGGTATAAAGTCTTTTTAAGAATGTTTTGCCGAATTTTGTGGTACCTTAGTGCAATATCTTACAATAAAGTTGGTGTGTGTAGTCTTAGTAAGACTGAGCCCAAGATGATGTATGGTACTTCCATTACTTCAATGGAGTGTGCCTTGTGGAAAGGTAATTTTTAAATATTACTTCCAAAAGTAAGAATATAGACATGAACCAGAGCACAACTTCCCCTTATGATCAGCCAGGTTTGAAGTCTTCAAAGTTGATTGTTGTAAACATTAATTATCAAAAGCCTGTTTAAATTAAGCCCTAGATTAGTGGAATAGGGATTTAGAAGTGAAGCCATTATATTCTTTCAATTAAACATAGGTTCAAAAGAAAAAAAACAAAACCCAAACCCACAAAAAAACTGTGATGCAGACTGATCCACAGCTATGTATTATACATATAGAGAAATGGAAAAGATGTAAACGTGTACGTTAAGCCTTAAAAAAAAAATTGTCACATAGGGCATTTTCTGTATGTTTAGAAATTCTGAAGTGTAATAAGGAATTTTTTAAATGGTATTCTATGCAATTTGCACAATTAAATAACTAGCTTGTTTCTTAAAGCACAATAAGTCACGTATTGCTCGTCAAAAAAAAATTTTTTTCTGAGAGAGCTGCAAACCTCAGTTCCCAATCTACGTTACTCAACAATTTCTGGCTAACCAGCATGTTTTAAAAACAACTATGCTCATCTACTAGTTAGAAAGAGAGACAGTGAAAATTAATGTGTTTTTCAAAAGAGGGAAAACTGAACAATTATCCATTAACTGAATCTGTAAACAATCTACAGGAACTCTGCTACAAACTTTGTTCCACTAGAGGTGCAGATGTAGCTGCTGCCTTAAAATTACTCTGGTACCCTAGATAACCCTGCTTCCTGCAAACACCTTTATCGCAGACCGATTATCTCCTGAGCTAGGCTGCAGCAGTTGGCTGTAAAGTGCACGTGTACTTGCTTCCTTTTTCCATCCCTCTTGTCTCAGCTCTGTATTGAGTATTGAGCTCAGTATGGATTCCTCCAGTATTAAGGATTTTTGTCACTTCTTAATTTTCCAAATTTACTTACACTCAGACAAACATTGACTCTTTTTGCTAAGTACCAGAAACCCTGGTTCCTTCTCTTCTGCTCTTATTTTTCCCCTCCCCTCTTGTTGCCATCTTCTCATTTGAACTATTTTTCCTATCCAAAACAACTGCAGGGAACCTAAGGCTTATAACCATTAATTTAGAACCTATTTCTCTGATGCCTTATGGTCATTTCTTCACTGACCGTGTAGAGTAATCCACCTGCCAGCTACCATGCTCCTGCCCAAGAACTGTAACCGCATGTCTTAACAAGCTGGCTATCATCACCAAAGTCAAATCCAGCTCAGGAAGGTGACTAATTAATAAGCCATTGTACTGGTCTTTACCTCAACCCACAAGTTCTCTCACTATTTTACCTTTCCGATTTTCTCCCCATCCCACTGGGGGAGAATGGCCGAGCAGCTGCATGGGGCTGAGCTGCCTGCCGGGGTTAACCCACAACCACCATATTAAAATAGATCCCTTTTCTAAATACCAAGATTTGATTATATTTCTGATTTCAATTACCAAATAACCATGTTCCTTTAGAAGCCTATGGAAGAGATTTACTACTGCTGTCAAATTTCAAGCATTAAGATAGTTCAAAAACAAGGGCAAAACCATCATGTTAACAGGACTCTGATTACTGTAAAGCCCAAGTTATTTCACTGCTGATCATATAAAAAGAAATGTCTACTGTAATGCACTCCTAAGTCATTTCCCGACCTTCCAACACAATCAATGTTTCAACTGTTCTCAGCTACAAAACATTTTTAAATTTTCATCTGATATGCTGCAGAATGACTATAAAAAGCAAGAGAAAAATATACTGATAAAAAATTCTATGTTGAATGCATCATTCATTTTTATATTAAGTTTATAGCAATATGAAACAAATATTTCCATGGGCTGTGCTGAAGAGCTGAAGAACTCCATGGTAAGCATGCTTATTAGAGAAAGAATGCCTATTGTGAAATTTAAAGTACAAGATACACAGATGACTGAACCTTTAAGAAAGTTGCCGAGTTAAATCCATGTATTCCAACTGCGGCTAAGATTGGAATATAAGACAAAGAAATACACGTCTGCACTATTTTCCTGTAGGCATTTATAATGTAGGACTCAGCCTAAGTCTTTTATGAAACCACATCCTGAGTCTTTTCCTTTCCAGCCACACAAAACCAAGATGTTAATTTTCATCATTAGAATTATTTTGTGCCATTTCCCCTGTATATAGCCTTTGGCATTAAATCACAGTAGAGAGTTTCTCCCTCTTACAGCATGTGGCCAAACACAATTGCCCAAATTGCCTTATATATTCTTACAATTAATTCAGTCAAGTATTTAAATGAGGAATATGAGATCAAATGACTTTTTCATTTAACTTCATTAAAAGAAATAGTTATAAGATTTAGCATGTATCTTGCTAAATATGCATTATCAAATACAGCTTTAATAATTATGCTCAGCTCCATAACCTTGTTCAGGCAAAAAAATATAAAGAGTCTTTGACACATGTATTCTTATATTTTTGTCCAGAACTGGGTGTTCTCTACTGCCAGACAAAGCAAGTCAGCAGTGGCACATGCAAATGTAACACGTTCCTCAGCAGCTGAATAAAAAAAGGTATTTGCTTTTCACAAACTACACACTTTTCAAATTCCATTAATTTCTATGGCACACAATAAAAAGGTTAATAGGTTGTTAAACATATACACTGCCATTTCTTTTCAATTTCCATGCAATACATGCAGCTAAATATAACTCAAGCAATATGCTCTGTAATTCATAGCATTTAAAGTATAGCAATTCTTAAAATGCCAGTTAGATATGAAAAACAAGAACCTGATAAATCCATTATACAGCAGTAAAAAGGAGGAGGGGAGGAAGAAAATAATTAATTACCTCATTATTCTATCACCTATCGCTGTTCCTCTGATATTATATCTAGTAAAGGGAACAACAACTGAAGTCATTCAAAAATGCCGGGTATCAGGTTTGTAAAAGGTTAGCATCTATTACAAAATGTGCTCTACATATTCCAACTGAGAAGACTCCTTCTCCTCAATGTGTTAGTATATGAGACTACTTTGATTTCAGCAAGAGTTTTCAGATTACGTAACAGTACATAAAGTTGATCTTATAAAATGCAGTAATTCCTCATAGATCATAGCAGAAGTGAAAGCAGCTGCATAATCATTTCCATTTTACATTCATATTTGTTTGAAGTTTTAACCTAGTAGTTTAACATTTTTCAGGCTTAGCCTCTGCTCATAGATAAGCTTCTGTCGAAGTCCAAACAAAATTAATTCGGTCATTTAAGTAGGAAAGCAGTCCTCAGAGAGTTGTTTTGACTCATTTGTGAAAATTAAGATCAATCCATTAAAACTGCACTCTCTGTGCATGAAGAACATACATTTTGCAGAGATTTTTTTTTCCCCCACAGATTACAAAGGACGGTGCTAAGGCAAGCCATATTATCTATCTCTGTTCCAACTAAATTTGCTGGACCTAGTAAGTTTTAAAGAAGATATGCAATGTGCATACTTCAAGACTGAAAAACCTGCATATCTCCTCATATTTGCAAGAGAAGGGATCTTTTCTTGTGGATTCCCTAAAATGCCCAGGTTATTTTCTCTGTTGAGTATCTAGCTAAACTGCTCTGCTGGACAAAACAGGTTTCATTTTTTTAAATTTAGAAATATTCTGTACAGTTCCTTATAAATTTTGTTAAAAAGAGCATGTATTGACTAGCCCAATGACAATAAAAAAATTAAATTACTATTTAGCTTCTTTTAGTCACTGATCTTCACCTTTCCTATAGTGATGCTCAGTGGCTACAGAAAAAAGTCAAATGTCACATTCTCAATTGTTTCTTTCAAAGAAATGTCCTTCTATATCAAAACTATTCCTAGCTGAGTCCTAGCCAACATTCAGCTGTCTTAGCTAATTTATCAAGCAAAGGATCATGCTATTTCTACACATTTTGCTGCTACTATTCTAAGTCCTTTTCAAAATATTAAAGCAGGTGCAAACTTCGTGTTTCTGTATCTGTTGCATAGTCTTGCCTGACAGTTCAATTTCAGGTTAGTTGGTGAGAAACTATCTATCCTCATTATGTTTTGAGATTTACAAGTATCCACAAAAAAAATATTATATCCCTTGTGCCTATTCTTAGATTATGTAAGAGAGAGAAGACCACCCAATCCTCGGTTTGAAAACGTTAAAAGTTGGATTTGTACCCAAACAAAATTCAAATAATTGAAGCTCTGTAAACATTAGGTTTGCAAAATGGCCAACATTCTACTCATAAATCTGAAATCTACATCCATCTTACTAAAACTAAACTGAGACCAGCAGAGTTGATGCAGCAGGAAGCTCTCCATTTATTTAACTGCAGGTACTGTCAACAGAGCTATCAAAAGGGTATTTCTGCCACTTCTTTTCCTTAAGAGGAAGTTTAAGATCATGATTTCAGAGTACAGAATCAGAAGTCTACCCTTCCTTTCTCAGTGGAGAAAGTTGCACTTTACAGTAGGAGAATGACTCTGAGACAGTTTCCTTTGTCTTCATTTCCCCAACTGCATAGTTTCCCCTCAATATAAATAATAGCTAGTTATTAGGTATATAAAAAACACAACCTAAAGAAACCTAAAATTTGTTGTAGTAATGCTATATACTGGAAAAGGCTTATTAATCAAACAGCTTTTAGCATTCTGTTTCAGAAGGCTGCAGCCTCTTTTTTACTTTTTGTCCTAGAGAAAAATTAGAAATAAGCATTTTTTTTTGCCACTGCATAAAATAGGTTCACAAAAGGTAGGTTATTGCAGGCTAGTCTTACAACCTTCTCCAGAAAGAAAAGAAAAAAAAAAAAAAACCCAAACCCCAAACAAAAAAGCCCCAAAGCAACTCCCCCCTAGATAGTCTAGAGAGAAAAATGTACTTTACTACTTCTATATTAATGCCATTAATTATCTTACAGGATGACACATTGGAAACTAAATTATTAGATAGACTTGAGAAAATGAGATTTAGTAAAGGAATTGTTAGGTAACACAATTTACTAAGTGAGAAAAGAGAAAACATAAGCCTATAGGAAGCATACTGGTGGAGTTAAGCACCAGTCTTGCAGGCAATTTTGTTTAATATATTGCTAATAGTTTTTGAGCAAAATGTAGGAATGTACTCATGCAGTGCATTGAGGACACAAGGTTGGGTAACTTTATGAATATAGGGGGGACTGTAGGACCTTGAGAAAAAGAGGTGGGTAGAAATTCAGTAGTATAAAATTGACAGTCATACACTTCTGAGCTTCCTTCTGGCGAAAGATAAGAACACATTAATTAGAAATGACAAAGTAGGAAAGACTTCAGTATACTAACTAATCTTGTGTCTGACCACAAGCCACCACTATGAGACAGCCATAAGCAAGAGAGGAGAAGGATATAACCACAGCTCACTTGTGTCTCAGAGAATCTTCTCCAGACCAAGAGTAATAGTCACACCATTAATCCTAGCAAAATCCAAACAGTGCAGTGTGCATAATTCTGGTCTACCATATTGAGAAAAGAAGTGGAACATGGAGGAGCACAGACAGGAATCAGCATGATGGCAAAAAAATCACAAATTTTTACTAAGAGTGAGAAAAACTTGGCACTCTCAATTTAGTGACACAAAAGCTGAAAATGGACAGGATGAACATCATTCAAGTGATAAGCACTGGGCAAGAAAAAATTATTTCAATCAAAACAGTATGTTAGCACAAAACAAAATGACCAATTTTAATCAATTTATACCTATTATAGCAGCAGTGTTTTGAGGTAACTTCCCACTAGTTAAGGGGCCTGGGGGGTTTTATATAAATTTGATCAGTTTATGAAAGGGATTATATGCTCTGACAACTGTTGTAGTACTAGTAGAGAGGATTTCCAGTTCCTTTCACTCTATTTCGTATGAGGTATAAATACTAAGAGGGCTTATAGACCTTATCGCTCTCTACAACTACCTGAAAGGAGGTTGTAGTGAGGTGGGTGTTGTGGGTGTTGGTCTCTTCTCCCATGTAGTTAGTGATAGGACGAGAGGAAATGGGCTCAAGCTGCACCAGGGGAGGTTTAGGTTAGAAATTAGGAAAAATTTCTTCACGGAAAGGGTGGTCAAGCATTGGAACCGGCTGCCCAGAGAGGTGGTGGAGTCCCCATCCCTGGAAGTGTTCAAAAAACGGGTAGATGTGGCACTTCGGGACATGGTTTAGTCTAGTCTACCCTTGACTGGTTTAGTGTGGACTTAGTAGTGTAGGTTAATGTTTGGACTGGATGATCTTAAAGGTCTTTTCCAACCTAAACGATTCTATGATTCTATGATTATAGCTAGCCCTTAAGACCACCAGTGCCTGCTTTCTCTCTGGAAATCCAAATTCCTTTGAGCACACATACGATGTCTTACTTCAGTATCTCAGAGGGCATTTAGAAACTCCTAAAACCAGAAGAATAGGAAGGAACGCAATATAAACGTATAGCTGACTGCTCAGAAGTTAAACTAGAAAACTTCACTGCTTGCACACACACAAAAGCAGAACAAAATGAATTGGTCAGGCATTAAACCTGAGTAATGAAAGCCTGGAGGCAATCCTAAACCGGTATCGACTACACAACTTTTGTCAGATTTTATTTGGGGAAGGAATAAGGGAGGAGGGGATTACATAAAGAATTTTAATTATATAATTAATTTAGTTGAATGATCTTTCCTATATGATAAATTTAAACTGCTACAGGAAGAAATCATGCAGCACACAAAGAAGGAAAAAAAGCATGTCAGATGAAGTGTAACTTCATTTAAGGTGTCCCCACTAGTGGGAAATTGTAACAGCTATATGATACCTGGAAGTGTCCTTATTACACTACTACAAAAACTATTACATCGTAGAGACAACATAAAGTGCATGAAGAGAAGCTAAGAATCCTGCTCGAAAACACAAATGGGATTAAAATTGCAGGGCTTTTCACAGCTTGCTCTTCAATCACTAGATCGTAATGAACATCAGCTTTGCAGTGGAAACTATTTCTGCCATTAGGTATTTATCTACCGTTACTTAGTATTGCATGGAAAGCTAATGGATGAAGACAGAATCTGTATATATTGGCTTTTTCATAAAACCTGTCATTTAGTGAGCAGAATTACTCATGCTATGTAATAAGCAACCACTGACTTCTTTTTGTCACTACTGACATTGTGGTAGCTTATGACTTTTTTTTTAACTGCAAATTATTCAAAACCTTTTCTATACACAACTATTAAATTCTTTCTGATTTCTTAATGAATACATATTGTAATGCTTCCTGTAAAGAATTTGCATTGCTAGCATAAGAAACTAATAGCAAGATAATGCTGCCTTTGAACAGGATAGGAGTAAAGCTAAGGCATCTGACACTAGGTTAGATAACATCTAAAACAAGTAAAAAAGGTATTTTCTCAAGTCTAACAATAGAGATGTTGCTTAAATAATTATTACAGCTTTTAAAAGGTCCAATAATTTAAATTAGTGAACAAAGGTATTAAATCAGCAATACCAAACTGGGGGCTAAGTTTACTGAATGATCAAACAAGTATGTACAGCTGTTTATATTTTACAAGAAAAAAAATACACAAAGCTTACTAAATGCGTCTTTTAATAATGACAACTAGTAATCTACCTTTTTTTTTACTGCTGTACATACTGATATTCAATAACCAACAAAAACAAAAGGATTACAGAGTTTATCCTTCAGAGAAAAAGAAGTAAGAATGAAAAATGTATGTACTACAGACAAACACAGCATTGCTGAACAACAACAGTTAAAAGCTCTTGCTTTGCCAAAGTAAGAACACCTAAAGTACAGTTGAAAGAAAATGTAGGTCCCTGTGCACAAATTTAGGAACTTTCTATACTTATGACTACAGGGAGAATAATAAAAAATGAACTGCAAATATTTATCACTGGGGTATTCAGCAGGCAAGAAATAAGCACAAACAGGTACTAGATCTGTAGGAGCTTGGCTGGCTAGGAGGGAAAATATAGCTATACATATCTTACATATAGGCAAATTAGACTCAGCCATCAAGCTCTTGGCTAGTTGTCAAAGAATAACTTACTTTAATTAAGGATATGAGATATGGGTTTCTAGATCTTCCATTCAAAAAAATGCATTTTGCCAAGCAATAGCAGAGATAAGCAGTCCCCTACCTGTGTCCTGGTCCTCCTCGATACCTTGCCCCTGGGATCAGAACAGGATCATCATCACTATCATCAGTTTCTTGGAGAGCTGAGGTCCTCGTAGAGGACTCGTCTGGAGTTGCAAGACCTGAGGATTCTGGGTGTGGCTGAGGTTCATCGGTTGCAGCAAGCGAGTTGGCAGTGGATTCAGTACTTTGACTTGAAATTTCTTGATTCACACTTCTTTCACAGGAAGCTTCCTCCTCTACATTGACAGCATCAACACTGGGGCCATTTTCTTCTGGTTCGATTCCAGAATGCTCAGGACCAGATTTATCTGATACGGCTAACAAAAATATTGGGGAAAATAAGTCACAGCATTAATAATTATAGCTTATTTTAGAAGACATTATAAATGGTCACAGAAGTTAAATTATGCATACTGAGTTTATATTTGGAATTTCATTTTTCATTCTCTATTTCTTCATACATTTGAAACAGTACCGATACATACTTGCTTCTGTTGTCTCTGTAGTTTCATCTGTAGCTTTCAGTTCTTCAGCACTTGCATCTTCCTCATGAGATTCATCAGGAACTTCTGAATTAAACAACTTAATATTAAATCACATGATTTCATTCAGATGCACATCTATAATGTAAGCAAATCTAAACAATACTAGCACTTCTAGATCAAACCAATCAAAGCAATCCCCTCCAAAGTCTACATGTGACTTTACTGAAATCCCAGACACTAATCACATAAAAGTCAGTATATATAAACCTAGCTAGTTGCCCAGGTCAATACATTAACAAGGAAAAAAGTATTTCTTTCTTGTTCCTTAATATACTGAATATCCTATGCTATGAGAACTTTAGCTGCAAAACCAGCATTAATACTCTTGAAACAGATGATCACTTACTGAAAGCTGTTATTTCTGAAGACAGAAATTAAGTTATCCCTGTATTAAAAGGGATTTTTTTTTTTTTTTTTTAAAAAACATGTTTCTCTGGAACCAGTCATTTGACTTGCCTGCCCTTTTGGAAAGGAATTGAGCAAGACAACCACATGTAACAAAATACAGTGAAAGCTTGAAAGAAATGTAACAAAATACTTGGCACTCACTTGTGACTGCAAAGTGCAGTTGTTCTATTTTTCGATACAAATTGGGGCAGCATATGTCCTTACGAAAAAAGAATAAGGGTTTTATAACTAACAACAGGATAAGTTAATTTTGTTTATATTTATTTGCAACTATCTCAGGTTGGTATCTCTTTCTTTCCTAAAAAAAATTAATTTTCTATTATGGCGGTATTCTGTCTTCATATGCGTGTGTATGAGACTCCCATTGCGTTCAGTGGTAGTCATGAACACACACAAGAGCAGAATTTTTACCTTAACATTACAGAAATAATGCCGTTATCTTACTTGTTTTTTCATCGCTAGGCCCTGGCTCTTCTGAGGCTTTTGTTTTTACAGAGTCTTCTTGGCCTTCAGTTTTGCAATGACTTCCACTCCCTCTAGAGCTTGAATTTGTGCTGCTCCTGGCAACATAACATGTAAAAAAAAAGAAAAAAAATTTAGAAATAATGTAAATAGAAAAGATCATTGCAATGGCACAGCCTGTCCATCATCATCTTTCTCACTGCAATCTCACAATTCAGTAGCTCCTGGCAGGAGCTACAACTAACAACCTTCGCAGCAATTTCAAAATTCTCTTTTATTATGTCCATCGCCACTCATCCCACACTATTCCTCTGCATCTCAGAACCCTGTTCTCTCCTTCCTATCTTTTTTTTTGAACCTTTAAAGGACTTCTTCATTGCTTTTCAAAATATTGTGAGAACTCCAAAGAATTTGCTCTCTTTCACTATCTACACATTCTTTACCTGTATAAGTGATCAGAGATCTTATTAAAGGTATTACAAGCTGTCAGTTGAGCACTAATACATAATCTTATCCCATCCAATTAAAAAACTGATTCAGATAAAATCCTCCAGGTTCTTCACCATTAGCTATCATTCCTGTATATTTTGAGGCATGGACTTCTGATGTCAGCTTTCAGTCCTCAAAGTTTTGTTATTTCTCAAGACTTACTATAAGCTGGTACTTGAGATTTACTCCCCATTCACATTCAGATAATTGTTGTGGAACACCAATTTCTGTTTACAATAAGGAGAATTATTCCTCAGGAAACATGTAACACTGCTGTTCTGAATGTCATCAAAACTAACGTTTTTAGACTCTCTAGGAAAGACCTTATTTTAGGAAACGCAAAGCCTTGTTCCTGAGCTCTCCCATTCTCTCCTGTCCCACATCTGTGTTGTGGCCTCAAACTTAGGTAAATCACTGGACAAAAGAAGAAACAAAGATGAGTTATGAGAATTATAAGCATGATTCTCAAGAATTTAGACTGTATTGTTACAAGTATCTTCTTACCTGTATATGTTACTACTAAACTATTTTATATGCTACGTTGCTAGAAGCAGCACAAATCATGCTTAGTCTAGATTCTTGAGAATCTAGTCTAGACTTCAGTACTTTTATATTTTACAGTAGATATGAGGGCTTTTACTCATCTTGACGATCAACAGTCTGTTTCACAGCTGTACTGGATTTGAAGTATGTAGAAAAATTTTGTTAGCCCTTACAGTATTTCTTCTAAATTAAGAATTTTCAGGATTGTTTCTGAATGGACAGACAAGAAGGGTACTGCTAGACACCCAGTTGAGGATTTTTGCTATTTCATGCCTCACGTAACATAATCACTTTTATGAACTTAATCACAGTCTAAGCACTAAGATTTTCTTTGACTCTTAGGAATCTACTTTCTAGTTCAATGTTAATTTACATTCATGTATTACTCTGCTTTAATTTTTACTTCAATGTTATTTTTCACACCAGCAGTTACATGAAGAGGATGTTTTTGAGAGAGCAAAATAACACCCTATGCTTTCATTACATTAAGCCCTACTATCTGCTTCCAGAGCAGGTTTTCTGTTTCCCCAGTTCTCCACATAACCCTTCTCTGAACTTCTGCCAATGTGAATCACTTTTCTCAAAAGCATGACGAAGATTGCACACAGCATTCTAAGTCACAAAGCAAAGCAGAGTTGAGCAGCAGTAATTCTCATCCTTGGCTGAAGTCTCCCAGCTGGTGACATCTAGGATCATACTTGCCTTTCTAGTAGCTGCATTATATTGAGAATGAAGTGACTGGTAGGTCCATGTCTTCCTCCATTTCATTTTCACAACACTCCCAACTTTCAGATTAGGTTTTTGTTATTTGTCCTCAACTGCATCATTTTGTTATGTGGAATTGCATCCTACTTCTACTATTCCATTCTTTGGCACAATGTTTTTAGTTAGCCTCTGAACTGACAATGCCTTGCAACTCTGTCCCGCTAGGAAATGCTTCTTCCTCTCACTACCCACACTATACTACCCACTACAAAAGCTCCACTAAGTTAGCTTCAGTTTCTTTATTGATCTATCTGTTGCACCTTGAACAGAAGTTTCCATCTTCAGAATCACTTAACTGTTTGAAGTGTAAAATGCATTTTGTTTTAAAATAAACACAGAAACAAAGTGTTATGTTGTGTAATAAAATTTGTTTTCTGTGATACAGTGGTTGTAATATTTTATTATTACATTAAAAAACCCACTAGAATAAATGGACAAAACATTTGCTAATGCTCTGTTCCTCTTGTGAAATTTGCCTATCCTAAAACATCAGACAACTACAAAACTAAATGCAGAATTAGTTCAAAGCATTACAGCAAAACTTATTTTTTCAAAGTTTGCTGGATTTGGGCTCTAAATAGAAATATAGTCTGATAGATTGGTTAAACATAACTGTCACAGTATTTCAGATTCACATGGGCAAAGTCTTAATTCTTGTGAAACCACAAAGATCACTGTTCAAAGTTTCCAAATCACTATGGGCAAGGTGTATGTTTCATGTTTAAAGCCACAGCACTTAGGAGTAGCTAAATGTGGTGGTGGTTTTTGGTTTGGGGTTTTTTTTTTTTCCACTCAGTAACAAATGCCAGCAAGCATTTCTACTTGCTGTCTTCTACAATAATTCTGAAAACATAAGCAAAGGAATAGAAGAAAGAGGAGATAAAATAAGGATTGTGGTTGTTTTGGGAGATCCTGACATGCTCTAGTGACAGACTTCAATACAAAACCAAGTAAGTCAGGCCAGTTAGTATGTGTTTATTACCTGAAAAGGATGCAATCACTGTAATATCTAAGCAGCCCACAAAGTTGGTATCTTAACCATATGCATTCACCAACACTCCTCAGACACAGAAATACTGATTTCACTGTTTTACAACTGAGGAACTGTGCCACAGAAAGACTAATTTGCAGAATACCATATGAGAAGTCTGGTAAAGCAGAGAATTAAAACTTAAGCACTAGCCCCGGACCACCTTTCCACCACTGTACTACCCTGCTTTACTAAAGACAGTGAACACTAATATTATGTTAGGGTTTGATGAAGATAGCATGTTTCAAATTATGTTAGCATTAAAAATATTCAAAGAAAATATCACAGAAAAAGCTCTTGCATTAATTTCATGTTAAAGTACGACTGTCTTTTACATTCTGAATGCATTAAGGACTACAGCCATTTCAAATTGTCTGTATACACCTAAAAATATACATACACCATTCAGAAAAATAATTTATCTGTGTCTATGATAGACGAGTGTTACTGATATGTGCTGATCAATAACCAGTAAAAAACAAAATTAACTTCTTACCACTCATCAGTGAAGTCCAGTTTTATTGTGCTTGTAGTTGTTCCTTCTGTACTGTAGTGCAAACTTAAAACTGGTTCACCTGTTCCTGTTCGTGGCTTATCACTCTCTGTAAATATGGGGTTGATAAAGTTTGGATGGGCATCAGTAATATACGTAAACCTGTTATAATTCTGAAGATTCATTTAATTATCCTAACAAAGGCCAAATGTGGTAGTAACATGTACAATGTCTATTTAAGATCTCTTACAGCCCAAGCAAAAAGTTAAAAAGTTTCAGAGTAAACACAACACATTTGCAATGCTTTAAAAATGGCCTAAAATTATTTGTATTTGTAAGAGCAAAGAAGATGCTGTCCTTCAACATGCAGGTAAATAAAATTGCAGATAGGTATGTGTACACAGAATATTATCCTTTATAAGCAGATCCCTTTTCTATCAAGTATATTAATAATAAGAATATAAAATGTTTTTGGAAGTGGTGTTCAGTCTTTTTTTGCCTCAGTAAATACACATGAAAAAAAGATTATGAGATCTAGACACAATCAGTGGTCTAGAAAAATCACCATCCCCTTTACTTTTTTTTCTACTTCGAACCCAGTCAACTACCAATATCCTCAGACCTGCTGTAAACTGCCAGCTAGTTGTCATAAAAACACTGTAAATTCATGTTCCAAGAGCTTCTGGTTTAAAAAACCTTTCATATTATAATAACTGTAAGCAGAAGGGGAAGTACTTGCAGAATGAACTATTCATGATGTCCAAAAGCAACAGAAGTGAATCAAATTGAAAACCACTGCAAGTCTGCCAAACATCTGCTGCATATATAGTTTTAAGGATGTTCAGGGGGCTCCTCCAAAACAGAACTGCTCAATGACATCCATCCACCCACCACTCTTGAGTAAAATTCATGGTCACAATCTATCTATACACATGGCACAATTGCCATTAATACTGAAGGTGGCCTTGGGCAACAGTAAAAAGTTCATGGAAAGTACCATCAGATTAAGCCTCACCACAGAGGTGCCATTCTCTCAGAACTCACACGGGAGTTTACTGAGTATTAAGCACCACTCGAAAACCCGCTAAGTAGCCTATGTGGTCTTGCTTTTCATGAATGCTGAGCTTGTTATCTCAGGACTGTATTGTCTTTGGTGTATAGAGTACAGAACTTTGACTATAAGTATACTTGCAGTATTGGCAGCAGACTGACACTTATAATAAAGTAAAAGCTTCAGATCATCTTTGGGTAAACATCAATTAAAATCTAACGTTCAATTCAAGCACAAATCTACAAATTCCACCACTAAAAAGGCTGTTATTAAAACAGTAATGGCTACAATACTGCCACAGGATATTTATTTTTAAAAATACAATTAAGTTATAGGAACTATGAAATAACACATAAGAATTTAACCTAATGATCAAAGCTCGTATTTTTAAACTGCTGCCAGGCAGAAGCCCACTCACAGGATCAGAGCAGTGATCAGCTGCTCCAAAGAACTTTAAATATGTATTTCTACATATTCTGAAAAGAAATTAAAAAAAACAAAAACAAAACACAAAAACCCTGTAAGAAAAATTGAAATATTTTTACGTGAAGGAGAACCAATTACAACCATGATCCGAATCACACATAAGGCATGGGCCTCATTCTATGCAAACAAAAGCTCATAGCCTCTCCAATTTAAAGGTTCCAGTTACACTCTTGTTAGAGTGGAGCAAGGATAAAACTGATCAAAAGCAAGGTTTCCAGTTCCTGAAATAAACTGAGTAAGAAAAGAAACAAATGTAAGAAAATACTTTATAGTGGCATACATAGATATTTTGAACAAAAATGGCATGTTCTTTCTTAACTAAACAGGTGCTTTCTCTATTTTTTGGCAAACTATCAGCCAGCATCTCTTAGTATAGAAGTCTGTTCAAACTTTGAGCATCCTTTCCTAAGCAAGTAGAAATACTGATCGTTCCAACATACTGCACAAGTCATCAGGAGCTGGACACTGAAAGAGTGAAAAATTACATAGCTGGAGAATTCTTTACCTTCCTTGCAATAGGTACAAAAAAGACATATCATTGAACTGGGAACCCTGATAAGTAAAGAAAGACAACTTACTGCCTTGAATAGTCTGAGACGGCCACCAGACAATGACTATACGGTAACTTGATACTGCTATGCAACATTTGCTTCCACACAAAACTAGTTAATACTACTGACCCAAGTAACCAAACATTGCTATCCTGTAATGAACCTAATTGAATATTAGGCTTGAGTTATAAAGCTCTGATCATACTATCATAACAGTGCTTTCCTGTCTTAAAATCTCAACATGAAAAAATTTAACCAAGATGTATAAAGACTGTCCTCTGACTGTGCTTACTGTGGAAGAAATGCTTTTATTTGTTCACAAATTTGTTCAATAAGTTGGAAGAATTGCTGTAGACTTATCCAAAGAGGGTGCTGGCTAACTGAGAAATTATTTTTACAAATTTCTGGAGACAGATAGCTGTTAAACCATATTGTGTAATAGCTTTTTCTTAAATCTACAATAACATGAGCTACAATTTGGATTGGGTCAGTTTCTTCTTTAAACTAGCTTTAGGGCATGAAATTGACACTAATAAGAACAAGAAACTTTTAAAAAGACAGATGAGACAAGAATCTGATAATAAACTGTACAGAATTAGTTGTGTAGTTCACTATATTAAACTCACACTGCTAATGAAAGCTGAATGGGAGCCTCTGTGAAGAAAGCTAATAAGCTTTGCCTAGTACATAATTGAACATTCTTTTAGAGAAGCGACATAAAATCCAGAAGTCGTGATCTCTTTGTTTTCAAGAAGAACAATGCGATTGCCGAAGACTCACTAGATCAGAATGAAGCACTGTTCTCTTTCACTACTATGTTCATCCCACCAGGCCAGATCTACCTCACATTGATAAAAAATGAAGAAGAGGAAAACTTGTACAGTTTCTGTGACTTAGGGGGGGAGCTATTGCCAAAACTATTAATCTGATTACAAGCTCTAGGAGGGTAATAATTGCTCCAAGAGAAAGTTGTACCTTTAGTCAACACCTTACTAAACTCTATTCCAAATTCCTAAAAAATATCTTGAAACTTTACTTAGATTTTACAGCCAAACACATTATACTTTAAAGATACTATCAACAACTTACACTCTTATTTCATAAGCAACCCTGTCCTAGAACAGACACTCCCACGAAGTAGTCCATTCTCCAGGTGCCTACAGGGGGAAGGTACTTTTAAACTACCACCCTTAAAACTGAAGATGAAGTTTCATTCATAATATTATTTAAAAAAAAAAAAAACAACCAAACCCCACAACTGAAAGCAATGCCCCTCATACACACTTTTTGCCTTAGAAAATGCACCTGTGCAAGTGTAACACAAAGATTGGGGCTCTTAACTATGAAGTGGTAATCGCATAGAGACGGGTTTACAGATTGCACCACCTAGCTAAACTAGCACTGTAAAGAACTTCAAGCTAGTTTCCCACATCTCAAATGCTGCCTTATTCACCGGTCTATTGGCAACCCCATGAGAAGAGGACAGATGACTTTTCATGAAAAACTTCCAAAATAATTCCGATCCAGCACTAATCATGACCTCCTCGTAAGAAAATCAGCTTTGTACATTCTGAAGATAGGGTTATATTCTGGGCGAAAACCAGAGAGTTACTGCTGAAGGGAGAAAATTTGATCCAAAGAGGAGAAAGCAAGTGGCGTATTTCAGAAAATAGGAAACCCATGGGAAGGCTTAACACATGAAAATTCATCAGAAGCAGCTGAACTCAGAGGGAAGGGTGGAGATTCCTTTACCTAGTGAGGAATACTGACCGACTGTTATGCTGATACCAGTCAGTATAAGGCACAATGACGTCTAAGGGAAAACCGAAAATCAAATAATTCTTTGGACTAGCCTAATCTATGGCCCAAGGCATACAATGTCTTTGTCTAGATGATTCCTGTACTAATTAGATATAGTACTGCACTTTACCGAAGGAGGCAGTACAGACCACACTGTGCCTTACAATGAAGCACAGGTCCGAAATTCTTGAGCGTGTACCTGCAGAGCTCACTATAGATCTGGAAAGCTCTGTATGCATACCAACGCTCAAGCAGTTCGTCTGACTTGGGGGCAGAGCTAATTAGCTGGGACACAACACATGCCAATACAGTTTCAAGGACTTATGGTACTGTTTATGAGGAACTAACTCTGCCACAGCTGATACAGCAGCTTGCTCTGAGCCAGCTCAAGTATCTATAACGTGGCACTGAACAATCATATATTGACATCACCACAAGGGATTACTAAACACTCGCGCTAACTTACAAAGAACTAGAAATATCAGTAATGAGTATGGCTTCTGTGTATGTCAGAAGCAGTATTAAGATGGTATGGGATGCATACACACATTTACACTTCAAAGTTACCAAGCTAGTTCTCTGGCTTCAGGTTCCCTCTTTAATCATACCAATTCAGGCAGTACCTTACAGTCATAACACTGCCTTTACACTGCGACAAATCTAACAGCCACCCTCCATGATTACAATCACAGTAAAAAGAAAAAAAAAAAAAAATTTAAAGCCAGTATAGATCACTGTAATCCATTTGAAACCATTTTGTACAGATGGGAATGACTTATAGCTTCTGCTGGACTGTCAGAATAATGGCATTATAAATGTATGTTTGTAATAAGTAATAAGTAATATTTTGTAATATTGTATTGTATGTAATACATATAATAATATTACAAAATAAATTTGTAATAAGTATCAAAAGATCTTTAAACCCAGAAACAGTCTTAAAACATAAATATGCCAACAAAAGAGACTGATCCAACAGAAAACAGCTGATATAGGAATAAGAAAGAAAAAGCATTTCTATATAAAAAGAACTGATATGACTTCCTTCATTCCTTTCTGAGATTTCTGTTCAAATATGCAGTATAGCTTCAAAAATCTGACTGGATCTCAGCAAGTTATTCTTTCTGGTTATCATTTGGACAACAGATTTCCTGATAAATTACCTCCTTTTCCAAACTCCTAGTTTTCCAAACTAGAAGTAACATTCTGTGTCTCTTCAGGTGATCCTTACCATCACAATAGAAAAACATTGCCTTAAAACAATCAAAGAACTG